GTTTGAGGCTTGGAATGGGGTCGTGACCTTCCAGCAACTGGGAGGACCCCGGGTGGGGGTGAAACCATTGTATTCCCTCCCCTTCCCACACACACTCTGATAAGAGGCAGGGAATGGTTTCTTGTTTCACTCCTGCCTTGGAGCTCGGAGAGGAAAGTTCTCCTTTCACTCCGTCGGACCCTGGAACCATTTCTGAGGGTTTTGTATATTTTATCTTTTGTATTATTCCCCTAATCTTTGTATATATTATTTTCCTTACCTCCCTTTTTAGTTTTCTGTTCCTTGTTGAACAATATACTTCATTTTTTTTCCAAAGTGTCTCTCTCTCTCTTGGGGGGGGAGAGTACATAGTTCTGTTCCGTGTGGGTTCTGCCCTGAACCCCTTTTTACACGGAACCAGGACAAAGAGGAAGAGCCTGAGAGGGAGGTCTGCTCCATCCTATCCATCTGCTAGGATCTGAAGTCAGTGGGCTAGAAGTGGTGTGAATATTTCTTGCAGATGAGTCTCCAAAAAAGCAGTAATCATTCCTCCATACTCTTTGAACCTTTCTTTAGTGGCCAACACCAGAATCTTCTGCACACCTTAATATTCTAGGCCTATTAACTTTGCATCTTGATGCTGGAGGCTGTTGCATCATTTAGTAATGGTCATTCTGTCTGGACAAAGGTAAGTACAGTTATAAAAGACTTTAATTATAAACTTTTCTGTACTTTATTATACACTTAGTTTTAACAGAAACGCCTCTCATGCATGATTCAATGTTAAATGTAAAATAAACATAGTTCATTCTAATTTCCCTTTTCTCTATTGGGTATGAACAATACTTCTCCCCCTTAGGATGATTTTCTCTCTGGAACTTTTTGTGAGAAATACTGTGAAGAGATTTGCCTTTATGAAGTAACACTCCCACACCCATGTGAAGGCAGGTTTTTGTAAAAACTTATTGACAGAAATTGTCTTTCTGATTCATATATAAAAGCCAGTTTCTTTACAAAACCCTGAATATGCCTCATGCAGATATAGTAGATTTGGCCTGTTTCATCTGATTTGCCAAAGGTGGGAAGTATTACTGAACAAACTGTGCTCTTTGCAGTAGCCTGTGTATTGTGATAGTCGTGAAATGGGCTTCCATCAGTTTCTGGCTCAGATTCTCAGCTTCTCTGATCAGCTCAGTTCTGCTGAAAGCAGCAGCCTCTCGCAGGCACATGTTGGCAGTGAACACTCCCCCCCTTTCACTCTGCCCATAAAACAAAATGAACAAAACCCCACTGTTTTCTAGGAGGACCTAACAGGCACTTGAGATGGAAATAGCTGATCCTTCCAGTGCTAATGAAAAGATTATTCATTAATAATGATGTTTGCCAGGCTAGTGACTCAAAAACTACAGTCTTTAAGGCACAAGTTGTTCTTTCTTGTCTTATGTTCTATTTGCAGAACAGAGTAGAACAGAGTACAAGGTATAGTAGAAATATTTTGTACTTGCAAAAATGTACTGGAGTTCATTAAAAGATGTATAAATGAGCCAGAATATTTTAGACTGGATAGTATCTGTGGTACCCATCAGGTTTGATCTGCCACTTAAATCAGAGCCAACTTTGAAGTTGTATCAGGTGACTCAGGGCCTTGTACAATCAAGTTTGGAATACCTCCAAGGATGGAGATTTCACAGCCACTCCGGGCAACCTGTGCCAGTGTTTGACAATCCTTGTTGGGAAGAATATTTTTCTTGCTTTGAAGAATGCAATTTTTAACCTGAAGTGTATTTGTTTTTCAAGCTATGAGATGAAGTTGTTCAGGCTTACATTCAAATTGGAAAAAAATGGAGAGCCAGAAGGCTTGTCTGGCCTCTTCATCTCAGACTGTTTGGTCTGAGTAGTTCTGCTCAGGACTTTTCTCCTCTTGGCACAGCTCCTCACAACACAGACTGATAAACAGCTGTCCTGGTTCCGTGTAAAAAGGGGTTCAGGGCAGGACCCACACGGAACAGAACTATGTACTCGCCTCTCCCCCACCCCTCGAGAGAGAGAGAGACACTTTTTAAAAAAAAATGAAGTAGATTGTTCAACAAGGAACAGAAAACGAAAAAGGGAGGTAAGGAAAATATTATATACAAAGATTAGGGGAATAATACAAAAGATAAAATATACAAAACCCTCAGAAATGGTTCCAGGGTCCCACGGAATGAAAGGAGAACTTTCCTCTCCGAGCTCCAAGGCAGGAGTGAAATAAGAAACCACTCCCTGCCTCTTATCAGAGTGTGTGTGGGAAGGGGAGGGAATACAATGGTTTCACCCCCACCCGGGGTCCTCCTAGTTGCTGGAAGGTCACGACCCCATTCCAAGCCTCAAACCACAACAACAACTTTGCCATGGCAAGCTGTAGGACTATAACACCTCTATGTTGCCTAAAAAAGGGATATGTATAGTTGTGCTAAGTGTTGTGTGATGACAGCCTGAGGGCAACTTTTTGGAAAAAGTATTCTACAACCAAAATGCTGAATTCCATTCTATCGGTGTTACAGGAGCCCAATCCTATAGAGTGTGCTGAGTGTTGATTTTTTTTAATGTCTACTTCACGAAATGTCAAGTATTGTAAGAGTATTTCTTGAATATTAATAAACTTTCTTTTGTTTTCTGCTCTGTGACAAGTAGGGCAGCTCAGAACAGGGGCAGTTACAGAAATTGCACATGTAGAGTCACAGAGGCCTTTCAGTGCCTTCAAGATGAGGGAGAATTTTCAGAATCACAGTCTGGCACTTGGGCATTTGTATTTATAAATTTCATTAGAGATGCCTAGGCTGTTTGTGAACTATAGGTCCTAATCCATAGCCATCATTTTTAAAGGATAATTTTAACAAATTCTATCTTAATTTTTATTTTTTTTTTTACAAGCATATAAAAAAGCCAAACCTGCATTTTCATAGGCTTAAATGCTCCTAACATCATGCTTGGTGTGTTTATTGAGTGATCCATTGATGGGAAGTGGTGTTGTAAGCACACTTGATGAAGTTACCCTGTAATGTTGTGTCACCTAAAGGAACCTGAATGAATGAAATGCCAGTTAAACACAGTTGTTTGAATTCATGTTAAACATGATAAATAAAAAAGCATAAGAAAGACAAGATGAACTATCTAATCTTTGAAATATTTTTAAATATCTCACGCAAAAAGACCCTTCTCCCCAATTCTAATGCAATCACATGCACCACTATTAATTAACAACATACAAGCACCTAGAATGACAGGGTAGTACTGTGTGTTGCTCTTGCAGTGTGCTGTGCCTTTCAAATCTCTGCCCATGTGCTTCAAAAACATACTGTTGTTATAATGCCCAATATAGGTTTTACCTCTAAGGAGCCTAACAATAGCTTCTGTTCCAGAACAGAAACGGCTTTTTACAGGACAAAAGCCTTTTGTGAGGAGAAAAGTTGAGCAAAACAATTATATACTCAGTTGTCTTTGTTTCCAGGCAGGCAGGCAGGCAGGCAGGCAGGCAGGCAGCTAATGATGTGCATTTGTCAGTTTACTACTTTAACGCTGTTCCAGAAGGTAGTGCTCTTGACCATGATGTGTTGGGGTTGCTCTTTATGGTTCATCATCTGCATGGCCTTCTGGGAAAAGAACTTCACAGCAATTCTGTTTTAACTAACCTTTATTGTAATTATGCCTATAAATATGGGATGTCTTTCTACCAAGTTTTTACTAGGCCATTTCTAATGGTGACCTGAACTAGAATGAAATGGACATGAACAAAAAGGAAGATCTTACTCAACAGGTAAGAGACTGGCTGTGAACTATGTTTGAGCAGATACGCTGATATAAAGCAAATTTTTAATCCTCTTCAAGATTTCAAGTGAATGATTACTTCATTGTGGATGTTGTGCAAGGATCTTCATGCGCATACGTTGAGCATGACCTAATTCTGAAGCAAATGCAGGTCAAAGAAAAGCTTCTTGTTTAAGCCAAAAAAACCTCATTTGCTTTACGAAGCAAATTTAATGTGTTTTAGGTACCTATGTCTTTCATTCATAACTCTATTAAAAGTAACAGAAATAGATGTCTAAAATCTGGTCCCATTAGTATTTGTGGGAAAAAAAGATTGGCATAATTAAGGTAAATGCAAGTGCTACAATTTGTGGAGCAGAGTCTGACCCAAATGTAAAAGTGACACTCTTGAGTCAAGCTACCAATCTAGATATAGGTTTGTACTCTGTTTGTATATGAATGTATTTTTAAAACATGTTCTGGTCTTGACATTGTAAAATATATTTTCAATAAAGGAAAAACAAAACAAAACACAAACAGTACCTGTTACATTGAGTAGTGCCCAGAAGATCTCATTGTGAAAACTTGAAATTGATAAAAATGTTTCATTAAAAATAGTAAAGATGTAATGTGGTATGGAATGTGGCTTGGCTCAGGGTAAACAAATGTATACTTTATATGCCAGAGATGCACCTACTCTGAGTCACCAAGTGCCTCATAGACTATCTTTGTACATTAAATGAGTGATAGAAATCAGACATAAAGTCTTGTAGATCATTAAGTCCATTCCCTCACAAATGTCTTCCTGAGGATTAGTCAGCTGTTAAATGGAACCTTCTTTTAGACCTCATTCACACTGCTGCAAATTGGAGATGGCATGTACTTTTGAGGTCCCCAGTCATTGTGAAGGCAGGATCAGCTTTTTCATTCTGAAACTATCTTTAGGGATTTTTTTAATGTGGTGCAGTTGGCATAGTCCAAGGAAATGTATTTGCAAATAACCTTGCCACAAGGACGACTCTGTTGCTTTGAGACAACAAGAGAATCGATGATCTTGAGGAGCTAATCTAATACTTGTGTATGTAGTATGAAAGCTTTGGATGGGAGTAGCAGATGAAAGCAAATGTCAGATGTGAAAATAAGCGGCACAATATTGTGAGCTAAACTCATTCCATTAATTTTCACCTGAAGGATGATAATAACATCGAGTATATTTTAGTTTCAAAGAAGGAAGGAGACTTTGCTTCTGCTCCCAACATTACCTCACATCCTCCTGTGATCTATGGCAACTTTGTGCTTCATCTTCTCTAATTGCAAAATAATCACGTGTACCTAATATTTATGCCACTTGCCGGTTCGTCACTAGCAGATTTTTGTGGCAGTAGATCACTCTCAGAGGGCTACTTCATCAAACAAGGTCACTGAGAGAGAAATTAGTCACAGCAATATCTTAACAATATGCTGTGATTTTCATGTCTAGTTTACGAGCCACTGGTGTCTGTTTATCACAGCACATATTGTTTTAGCACCACATGCAAGAGCCAAAGCCCATCTCTGTCTGGAGCTACTCCCTGGAAGTGTCTGATGTCCTCTGTACAACTGCATGGCCAGATTCCTTTCTGGTACACATCTATGTAGCTCCAGTGTCTCCAGTGAAGCTGCATTAATTCCCAGCAGTAGATAATTTGTTCCTGCTTCTCTGCTCTTTTGCTGCTTGGTTACCAGGGGAGCAGCTGGGCAATGCTTTCCATCTGTCAGAGGCAGGGAAAGCACTTGGACATGGATGTACTTGTTTTATGAGTACACTTGTGTAAGGTCTTAAGCAGCATCTCCTGTGACTTGACTTACTACAAAAAAGATTAATTGAACTTGACTGTACCAACCTAAGGGAGCTGTAAAGGGTAACCTGGTAAAAGGCAGAGTGAGCCCAAAAAATTCCTCATCATTTGCTCTTATCACAGCAATTGAAATACTTTGAAAACCTGTGTTGCTTTTGAAATAAAACTGGAAAAAATTTCAAACAATGTGACTAATGTAATATTTCAACAACCCTTCATCAATATATTTAGATTTCTTTTGACTGGAAACATTTAATTTCAGTTTCTCAATATTGTTTTATATGATAGAAAAAAAAAGTAAAACCTAAGTGAAGCAGTTTAACATTACATAAATAAAACATTTGGCCAACTAAACCTTAAATATTTTTGAATTTTTTGTTTTCTTTTCCCATGCTTTTCTAATTAGTTATACCATATTTTGACAGTTTGGTGTTCTTTGCAATATTAATCTTTCATTCTTGAAAAATCTTTAGCAACAACTCAGGAAGATCATCACAATTTGACCTCTTAATAATCAGTTAAAATAATGGCTAAAATTGGTCAATGATCAGAAACAAAAGAGAAAATGAAAATGTGACTGAGACCCCACTGCATTTTGCTGAGTGTTTGCCTCACCGTTTTGGGTAGCCAGTAGCAGGAACATTGGATTATCTTCTTGATTAAATATACAAAGGCTCCTCCTGGAGTTGCAACTTGCCTCTTTCACCTTTTCCTGTGATAGAAATCCTTCTCCTGATATTCATCTACAGTTACTCAGAACATCTTTTAAACTAACTCCCTTTCCCCCCGTTTTTTAATAAAAAAAAATTTTTGTCCCCCTCCTTTTTTTTATCATTTTTCAATTCCCCCCCTTTTTATCAATAGGTTTTTGTGAGAGGTTTATCTCTTGATCTTGTGGGATCAAGTGCACCTTCAGCAAGTTTGCAGATGACGCTAATCTGAGTGATGCAGTTGACATGCCAGAGCTGGATAAGCTTGAGAAATAGGTCTGTGGGAACCTCATGAAGCTCAACATGACCAAGTGGAAGGTCCTGCACTTGGGTCAGGGCAATATCCAGTATCAATATGGGCTAGACAATGAAGGGATTGAGGCCAGCCCTGCAGAGAAGGACTTGGGGGATACCTGATGGATGAAAAGTTGAACATGAGCCAGCAATGTGTGTTCAAAGCCCAGAACCATATTCTGGGTTACATCAAAAGCATAGCCATCAGGTTGAGGGAGGTGATTCTTTACCTTTACTCTGTGCTCATGAAACCTTACCTGGAGTACTGTGTCCAGCTCTGGAGTCCTCAGCACAAGAAGGATGTGAACCTGTTGGAGCAAGTCCAGAGGAGGCCCACAAAAATGGTCAGAGGGCTGGAACACCTCTCCTATGAAGAAAGGCTGAGAGAGTTTGGATTGCTCAGCCTGGAGAGGAGAAAGCTTTGGGGATAACTTATTGTGGCCTTCTAGTACTTAAAAGGGATCTATAAGAAGGGTGAGGACAGTCTTTTTAGCAGGGCCAGTTGCAGCAGGACAAGGGACAATGGTTTTAAACTAAAAAAAGGGTAGATTTAGACCAGAGATAAGGAAGACATTTTTTAAAATGTGATTGGTGAAACACCGGAACAGGTTGCCCAAAGAGGTAACAAACAGGGAACAAACAGGTTGCCCTATCCCTGGAAACATTCAAGGTCAAGTTGAATGGGGCTCTGAGCAACCTGATCTAGTTGAAGACATCCCTGCTCATTGGAGAGTTGGACTAGATGACCTTTAAAGGTCCATTCCAGCCCCAAACATTCTGATTCTATGATTATAAACCCAAATAACATTTTCAATCTTGCCTGAGGTCATGACTCAAACAAAAAGTAGGAGAAAAATAGAAGGGTTTTCTCTGTAGCCTTTGAATTTGCCTCATAGGACATTACAGACATTTTCAGTTGCCTGTAAAATCCTTTTGAGGCAAAAATTCAAGAATTGCCTTGCATTTTCACCTGTGTTTCACACACCAGAAATCTCAGCACTTATTATTCCTCCCAAAGGCAACACTTTACATTTCTAAATACTCTCAGTTTGTGGATTGGCAGGTTTACAGATGAACTGCCTTTTGGCAGTGCTGTATTTCATGATATAGTTAATGTTCCACTTCAGAGCTTGTACAAAGTCTAAAAGTGAGTGCACACTGATTAAGAAAAATTGCTTTAGATGTATCTTTTTTGTGTTACGATAAGATATAAAGTATCTATCAGCTGTAGAAACTCAATGGCATGCCAGAAGTGTCATGTAATTGGCTTAAGTAGCGGCAGCAATTTAATCTGCACAGTACAGAAATACTTGTTTGCTGATACTGTCCTCTGTTGTCTCCTCTTCCTACCTGCATGGTGCCCTAATATGCTGCTGTAATGCATGAGTGTAGCCCCTATGCTCTGTCGACAGTCACAGATGTTCAGATTCTTGTGTGCCCGATGTGACACAGTGGGTGTCTATTGAACACAAGCAAAGCTGTTATTTGTATGAGCTGGGATTATCCATAAAGGGTAATGAAGTCTCATCCACCTCTACTCTTCCTACTTATTGTAGGACTTGTGCTGGTCCACATCTACTGAAAATTTACCAGGTGCAAACCCCGGTGCAGAGGGGATTGGTGTACCAGCACTGGGGCAAGAAGTTTTTGGAAGGACTGGGACAAGAAGTCTTGAGGGAAATCAGAACTTGGGGGACTACCAATACTGATCAGTGAAAATTAACATCAGATACAAAATTAACATTTAATTAATTATAAATTTAATTAATTAACTAGAATTAATTAACATAAGAAAAAAAATAATCTAAACCTCAGAATTGTGGCATAATGTGAGCACTGTTTATATTTTGGACTTAATCCTTCTGGAAAAAATATTTGAATCACCACTCAGTTTGGGAAGTTCACTTGCTACGAAAGAGAAACAAATTTAAAGATCTCTGACTTAAGTGCTAGTAAATTTTTGAAAACGAGCAACCAAAAATTGAAGGATAGTAGGAACAATGTTGGCTAAAAGAACTTTCAAGTAGCTGTAGTATTTCCTGTTATTGTTGTTACACAGCAATGAAACTGTAGAAACATTCAGCAACAAAATAAAAAATAATCATAACTTTTGCAATATTAATGCCATGATTGTTTTACTTTCAGCACAGCAGAATACGTGGTTCCATGAAATTGTAACGCTCTGTATCCAGCACACTTGCACTGTAACTCTTTCAAGCTGCTATTTTACTTAATCATCCCCGTCTTCTGTAGAAAATATTTGTAAGAAATAAGATGTTAAAAAGACATTTTCTAAGTTCTGTTTCCTGCGCGCTCTCCCCTCTGTGTCCAGGTGCTAGGCCTTTTCTGATGGTAGACACCACATAGCCTGGTAGACAAGCAAGGCTTTGTCATAGCTCATGTATATGACTGTCTATAATATGAAGGTGTGTTGTATTTGTACCTTGCAACAAAAATAGCCCTGTTTAATTCACTGCAAAAAATACTATGAATGATTTCTAAATGAAAGTCCATAAATATCTGAATTTGTTTAGAAATGAAGAGTCATTCTCCTGTGCAAAGTCACAGTGTGCTTTGTGCTGAGGATTTTAACTAACATGTAGATTGTTCTCTATATAAATGTAAGAGTTTTGTTTATTTAAAGGTAAATAGTATTGCTGGTTTTGTTTAAGGGCAATGGCAGTTTTATCCTGCTCATCTCTACTCAGAAGAAATTTGTTTCTGTAAGGATTATAATGTGGGAAATGATGCCTTGTGTTCATGAAACTATTTAGAATGATTAACTCTGTGCACAGGAAGTTTTCTGATTTTTTTTCTTTTGATACATGAACTACTCTTTGTTTGATTTCAGTATACAGGTATTACAAAAAAGGATGTGCTCCTCTATCGTACAGTCATTTTACTGAACATTTTTTTGGAGATCTACAGTAGCAACAACAGGAAAAGACTTAGTCTAGCATTAAAGTTTTCAATGGCTATCTTTGAGCATAGAGAGGGAGAATACATTATAAAGCAGAAATGCAGATGATGTTATGATGGTGTCACTGGTTTCAAGTTATTCAAAGGAAACAAAACAATTTTAAAAGCTTCATAAAGTAGAAATTATTTCAAAGTAGAGATATTTTAGTGACAGACAGCAACCTCTGCCACTAAAGATATTTAAGTAAATATTTTTCATAAATTAATTTAAAAATACAGTATTTTTATGACTAGTTTTCATAGCTGGAACTATTGCCTCCTTTCTCTGAAAAAAATAATTTTACACATTTACAAACTTAATTTAATGTCTCTTTTATTTAAAAATTATTTTGATTTTTCCATTTGGCAGACATTGGTTCCTCCACACCTACTGTTTCTCCCTCAGCTTTGTTAACTTTCTTGTATTATTAATGGAAGTGTTAAAATTCTCCAGTATAATTCTCTATTATAAGCATTTTTTTTCCTGCTTTGTTATTCAGAAAAGTTCTTTTATTATATTTATATTCCATAATGATATAGGCATGTAGGAATTAGGCCTATTCTACATGGGTGAATGTGTAGATGTATCAGCAATACACTCCGAATTATTTTATGGGGTTATTATGGGTGTATTACAGGAATAAACCAAAGCCTTTTGATGAAGAAATGGATTCATCAAAAACTGAGTACTAAAAGTGGGATAAGCAAGGATTTCTGTTGTGAATGAGCCAGCAACTGTGTGCTTTTGTCACAAGCACGTCACTGTCAAGGTATTTGCATGGGAGTTACAGGCACAGAGTGGCTTTTTCTCCCTATAGAGCTGGTGGCCAGCTGCCTTCCACGCTAACAGAAATGCCCCAGCAAGCTTCTAAAGTAGCTGTAAATATAGTCTTGCAGAAATTTAGAGCTGAGGGGAGAGAGGAAGGGAATAGTTCTGTGAGCTCTGTGTTAGGAGAGAAATCATAAGCCTTTTTTTAATAGGTAGTGATGGAAAATAGCATAATCAGAAAACAGGAAAAATAGAGAGAAATAATACAGAAAAAGAGAGATGTTAATAACATTAATGGAGGCCATGTAACTGTTTCCTTCCATATGCATGTCACACGCTGCTGCCTTTTCTTCTGCGTGCTTTTATGTGCCAACAGGAATCTCTTTGCCTTATCCAGACTAGCATTCACTTTGCTTTTGTGCAGATCCCTACTTCTTCTGGAAATTCAGAAATTGGAGAGAGTGCAGATTATTCCTTTGTGGAAAAGGTAAAGAACAGTCTCATTCAGAGGATATCTCTTATTTCCCAGTGGTTCTACAGGTGTTAATTCAAGCCCCTCCCAAGGACTGTTGATTACGTTTCCAAGTTTTAAATACAAGCTTGAGGAGGTATTAATAAGCAATGTAACAGTTTGTGATTGGCTATGGAGTGACATATTTTGGTTAAAACATATTATGGAGTGTTCTTTAAGACATCATAAGATGGAGAATTCAGTCCCTACCTTGATAGTCTGTGAAATAATTAATCATCCACAATATTAAATAAATATTAAATAAATATTAAATATCTCTGCTATTTTAAAAATTTGAATCTGTCTGGCTTTGTTTCCCTGTCATTTTCCCTGTTCCGATCAGATTAATTACACTTGTGATTGGATCAGGATACTTAGGAGAGATGATGATGTAGACACTTCTTGATATTCTTTGGGATAATGGAAGGAGACTAATTTCTGTAGCTCCTTTTTGCACTTTCTCCACATTTACATCCATTTTAAAATCTGCTCCCAGAACTACAATATGCATTATATCAAAGCCATATATAAAGGTAAATATAATCTTCCAGTTCTTTTCAGCTTACACATCGAAATACAACTTTGCTGTTTTGACCACTGCCCTGGAAGTTCAATTATTTGACCAAATTAGATGCTGAAATTAATTTTAAACCAGCTTACTTTCAGATTTCACTCTTACTTATAAGAACTGCCAGTGTTCTGTGCTTCAGGATAATGAATTCCCTTTATAAATACAAACACTTTTAGTATGAGCAATAATATATTTAAATGTAATTCTTAAAATAAATTTTTTTTCACACTTAAATGGCACATTTGACAGGTTTTGTCACACAATGTATAATGTCTTATAATCTACTATTATTAGGCATTTTCACCAGCTTTGTTTTAAGAAATAGGAAAAAAAATACTGTGCACAATTTTTAAATCAAAATAGCAGAATTTGAAGGTTAATAAGTGTCTACAGAGACCTCCATCAGCAAGAAGCAATGGAAGTGCTACAAGGTAAATGCAGCTGGTGGTAGTACTCCATTGCCATGTTCTGTTTCATTCATGCATGCTATTTGGTTGTATATTTTATTGCTGGTTACAGAACACATCTGAAAGTGACAATGATGAAGTTGATGGCAACAATATATGTGGTTTCAGAAAGAAAAAAGGAGTCAAAGTTCCTACAAAGTACATTCCTCCTTTAGAAAATGAGAAGATGGAGCTGTCCCGCACCTCAAAAAACCCAGATCCTTGTCATCTTCAAGGAATCACTGGTTGCTCAGAACCACAACCAGACCAGACCCTTCAAACCATGACTAGCCTTCCTCCATTAGAAGAGAACAGAGAGGGTCATGGAAGTTCCCATCCTGACAGCGACGTGCAAGAAAAGTCTGGAGAAATCCAGGAAAGTGCTGACACTGTTAAAAGAACAATAGGAAAAATGCATGAGGAAATAGATACACCAGCTAAAATGGAGCAGCACACAGGTGTGCAACCTGTGAGGAGCACAGGGAAAGCTGGCTGCCCAGAGGCAGCATGCAGAGGAGAGGCCAGTAAAAAGGCAGAGAGTAAGCAAAAAGAATGGGATGGGATGGAAGAAAAAGATGTCAAGTTTCATGTGACAAAGATGGGCTCCCTGGGCAGTACTGTAACCACAAAAGGAACTGACACTGTAGAGACCTTCACAGGGGCACCTGACATTTCTAAACTAAGTCTGCAAGAGCTGAAAAATCTTCTGAGTGAAGGTCCTCTGCCTGCTCATCCGCCCAATTACAGTGGCAAGGCGGGTGGCACTTTTTCTCAGAAAAATTTGAAGCCCCGGGAGAAAACAGCTGACAAGCTGGGCCGACCCTTTGAGACATTTAGTCCCCATTTTGGAAAGGAGAATCGAAAGTACCATAGCTTCAACAAGGAGGGACTGGGGCAGCAGAGCAAACCTCTCCTGATCCTCAGCTCTGCCGGGTCTGATCAGCAGCAGCCATCTGGAAGCGACATGGATCAGCTTATTCTGGGACTACCAGCAGCTCCTGCACATGCAGAAAGCACACCTCCCGAGATTCAGTTTGACTCTGCAGGCCACGCTGGTAAGGATGCTTAAACACCACCTGCTGTCCTGTCAAAGAAAACGCTTCTGCTGCTCTGCTTTGTGGGGTTTTGTTAAGCTGCAAACCTTAGTCAGAGCTAGTGCATGAGAGAATTGACACCTGTGGTTTCTGTGTGATTGGGATGGATCAGAAGGTTTGCTCTACATTTATACTGCTGCCTTTTTTTTTTTTTTAATTTTTTTTAAGGCATTTATGAAGGCCAGCTGCTTGCCAAAAACTCTCATGCACAAATTGTTATGTCTTTGTCACTAAAACTGAAAAATTTCCACATTTGAACTGAGTACAAGCAACATTTTCCAAAGGTCTGCTGGACATTAAAAAGCTCTGATAGCATCTGGGTTTCTTAAAATTTCTTTTTTGTTAACATTTTCAGCAGCAGAAATGACTCCCATGTAAGGATGATGTTTTCAATTATCTGTCCTGTGAGAAGACTGGAATGCAAAAACATCTCATATAAACTATAGGGGAAGAAAAGCAAATGAGGCAGAGAGCTTCCACTTATCTTCGTGCTGTTCAACAAGCCCATTCTGGAAGTGTTTATAGAGCCAATTAACCGCTACTAATAGGCTGTGATTTTTTTATTTTTTTTTTTTTTTTTAAACTGTAAAAGCTATACTTCTAGGTTGGCTAGATCAGCAAACTGAAAACTATCATTAGCTATGGTAATGTAATGGCCCTGATTTTTTTCGTTTGCTGTTTTGTGTCTATTCCAGGCAGCACACAAACAACAATTTACCAGCTGAATAGATATCAGATTAATAAATTTCCAAGAGCATCAAGCTCAGATCATATTATCAGCTTTTCAAGATAGATATCTTACCCTCTGACTTATCTCACTGATACAAGAGAGATGAATCTCTTCTCTTCACTGATAAAATACTTTGTCCATCACTGTCTAGTGAAATATAATAGTAGCAATTATGTTTTAGAAACAATATTGTTATCCTGCCTTTTTTTTTTTTTTAAATCTTCTTTCAGATGTGTAGAAATATTGCTATACGCACTCTGAAAACAGACAATTTGAATATATCAAATGCTGTTAGCTACAATGGGATTTCTCAGTGGACAAATTGTGTTATCCAGTTCAAACAAGTCTGAACAAGATATCCATGAACATTATCAGTGCTGACTCAGGGCACTGCATGAGAAATATAAAGCTTTGAAAAGATATTTTGTGCTCAAACTGCTCTCTATTAATGTCTAATAGCATAAAGAGGTTAGAGGATTATTTCTCTGCCTACGGTTGACTCTGATTTACATTTTTTTTGCACTGCTGAAAGGCTAGCAAAATACATTAACAAATTTATATTACTGTTGTTTTCTTATTGTTTATAAAACCAGCAAATGTATTTAAAAAGGGGGGAATAATTATTCTTTGTCATAACACCATTTACAAGATACAGGGAACCGATGAGATTAATTGTAGGTTCCACAGGGAGATTTCAACTCAACTTGGGCCACTTAAAGTGAAGTGGCTAATCCCAGCATCCAAGCTGATTACCTAGTCAGTAGAGAAGGACAGGCATTTTGTCTGCAAAGAGGTACTAGAGGTAGCTGAGAAATTGACTTCTAGAGGTGGGCATCTCTTCCCACTGAATGTGAAAGTCCCATGATGATCAGTTTTAGATTATTTGCCTAACTCCAAAATGCCTAAAGCCACCTGGGGCTAATCCTACTCTGTGTCACTGGTGATAATAAGTACTGTAAGAGAACTATAGATGAGAACTCACTGTGAAGGGAGGTGGGGGAAAAATGTTTTGTCTCATCAGAAACATATGCAAAGCTAAAAATTTTGGAACCTCATTAAGTTTGAGTTCCATTTGGTTTTGACCAAACTTATTGTAGGGCTCAGTGTGTGTTTCCACTAGTGAATGGAAAGCACAGAAATAGTTTCTACTTAATTAGAAATGTATGTGTCTGAAATTTAATTGTCATTGAATACGTTCATTAACATAACCAAAGAGAAGAAAGTTTCAGATAAAATTCTACACTCTTTAATGAGCCTTTACATAAACAATATTTAATTGCTGCCAGTGATAATTTAGGATTGATAAGATAAAATCCTAAATATTGTATTTTTTATGAATAAAATATTATCTTAAATATTTTAGTTACCAAAGTGCCTGAAATCCTGGATCTAAATGTATATTGACATTGAATAGATCTGAAATACAGCCTCTTGTAATTTGCAAGTTTTCAAGTAATTGAACTTGCTTAAATCAGAAAATTTGATCCAAGATGTTTGAAAAAATTACAGGAGGTTTTATTTCAGATCCATTCATTATCAAGGTATGGCCAAAGCATTATTGTTCTAAAAGTATGCAGTTAAGGGACAGTCTCTAGAGGTCAGTAGTAGAAAGGGTAAGACACGTAGCTGAGCTTTAGTGATTCAGTGTAATGCAGAGGACTGAAATACGGTCATGCAAGTTACGTGGTTAATATCTCTCTAAAACAATAAATCCATATACATTATCCAAAATACTGATTGGAAATCACGGAAATATTACTGCATGTGCATTTTATCCATTTGTTATCAGCTCCTTTGCAAAAGAAGTGTTGGATATGGAAAAAAAAAGAGAGAGACTAGCATGAAAGACATTTGGGTCACTGTGAAAAATATTACTTGGATGGTGTCAATGAAATTGGAGCTAAAGCTAAAGCTCTTTTAATCTAATTCTTCACCATGGAGAGACAGAAGCTGACACATGTAGCTAGTTAGGCAAATATACTGACTGCACTTACATGAATTTAGGATTTCATTTGCATAAGTATCTGTATAAGATATGTTCACTTCTGCAAATTGGTATGTAGTCAATAATCAGACATTTTTTAAACTGTTCAGCACCTGCATTCTTGGACACCAAAAGGGAGGTTTCCAAACAGTAAAAATCCAGATGAAATTTAGTGTTTATAGCATTATATAACACTTCATAGCATGTATATGCACACATAAATGAATGCATTCGGGTACTATATGTATAGTGTATATAGCATACAATGTAAGTGCAGACTGACCTCTCTGACCTCAGATTTTATCACAGGCTGCTCTGCATGCTACTAAATTAAAGTATTTCTACTATAGCAGCCAGAGAGGATGCCCAAGCAAATAGCTGTTTAAGCAATGTGAAGTTCCCAAGAATCATGATACACCACACTGTTGGGGTTCTATGTCACAAGGAGCTATGGGCTGCCAGAGCCAGGGGCTACAGGTGACTTCAGCAGCCACACACACTGCATGCCACCAGAGGGACCTGCGGAGCCTCGTGCTATCACACAGGCTTAGGAGAAATCATGAGACAACAGCATCTGCAGATACCTGTAAGTGGGAAACACACTAGAATTAGGTTGTCACTTGAGGTTTCAAATTCCCTTTGTATGTCTTGATCTGTAGCTGGGATAAAATAAAGTTTGTTAAGAGCTGCTTGAGTGTAGACTGCAGAGCTTGACCCCCAGAAACCTTAGCAGGTCCTCTCCACAGAGCTCATTGTCCTGTATAGATATCAAGTGAGGCCATGTAAATATGACCAGAATGGGATTAGGAACTGTTGGAGGGAGAGGGAAATTTCTGAAGAAAGAAAATCTCTATGGCTGCAGTCATGAGTAGTTACATAGCAACTGTTGAAATTCCAAGTGCACAGAAAAACAACAAAAAAATTTGAATGCTTAAGAATCACATGAAATGTTATGTGGGTGCTGACCCCAAACACTAAGTTCCTTTGCCAAGTTGTTGTTTTAAAGAAAAGCATGCCAAGTAGCTACAAGCTGTATTTCTTACTTAAGAGTGGATTTTGTTAATCCTGCAAGCAATTCCCTTTTCTATTACAATGCATAACCTCACACTGTCACTGTTAATTTTTAAAGCTTTCATTTCTAGTGTCACAAATGACAATACCTAGGGGCAGGATTCTGAAAAGAAGAGTTCAACAAAACACATAACCTAGGCTTTTTGCTTGATTGAAATGAAAAAGTTTATCCACAGAATTTTAAGAAAAGTTGAACTCTCTCTGTGGTTGCACTGTCTTCTGTGCTCACCTGGAAGAGCATGTCCATGTCTATTGATTCTGCTCAGTAAGTGGAGCCAGTGGCAAGGAAATAGAAACAGAAACTCTTTGGGAGCTGTAAGTGGACAATCAGGAGAAATAAGTGAGCACAGGAGAGGTACATAAGTTCCTGCTCCAGGTGCTTCATATTCACTGCCTCTGCAGCCATTCCTGCAGAATAACCACATCTTACTTTGGGGTTTACTTGGGACTGTTTTTCACGTGGTACCTTTCTCTGCTTTGTATTTAACACAATCTGCACTTACATCTCTCTTAAAGTGAAAAACGAAAGCCATGCTGTTCTTTCATGGTCCTTCCTCACCTATCCGCATCTGAATAGATTTTTTCTAATATTTCTTTTTCTACGTTTTGAACTCAACTTTAACATAGCAGGGCTGAAGCTCTGCTCCTTTCTAAAGCTTCCTGATTGCCTTTATTTTCTGTTGAACAAACTATCACATCTTCAGCCTATTTCTTTCCTTTTCCCTCTGAACTGAGCTATAATCAACCTATATTTTTTACCTCACAAGTTCTAAAAGCAGCTATTTTTCTTTAAAGCAAATCAAAACGCTTAAATCCTTTATCTTCCATACCAACAGCTTAAATTTTCCTGCTCTGTGACTCTGTATGATTTTCCATTTTCCCCTTCAATCTATACAAAACAAAAATGCACAGACACCACTTCCATCCCATCTTTCTGATTTATTTTGTCTCCTTTCGGGTGAGATCCAATTCATTTGTCTCTGGTGCCTGGAGTAAGCTAGTCATCCTATGACTCTGTGAGAGGAAGAGGGATGTTCAGACAGTAATTCTTCCCACTCATTAAAGGAGCTTGCTTCCTTTCTCATAAGAGTGAAAGGTTGCCCAAGCTATTCATTTAGACCTAGTGTAAGTGAAATGCATTCTCTGCTTGGTCTCTCTGCCATCTGCCTCTCCTAC